TTCTAGGTGATAAGAAGGGCCATTATAATCCAGGTTATAATAACTGTCAATCAGGGTTTTTGTCGAGGGCAGACCCCTCGACAAAAACTGATTGACTGTTAAATTCTGACATCGTCCTTCTGACCTTCAATTAATAGCAGAGTATGTACACTAATTTCCTACGAGATATAACTTTATACGAATATAAGATTTTATATATAATGTAAAAGAAAAATTACTTTTTATATTATAAATTTTTTTATTTTGATTTTTATTTAATTAAATTTTGCTCTATTTCATCATATCGTCAAAAATAACCTAACAAATGTTTTAAAAGATTATACATGTAATTAGTATATTCTAGAAATAAAATTCTCTCAGTAATTTATTAATGGGTTTTGGTGCGCAAAATCTTAAGGTTTACTCCATTTTTAGATTGAAATTTATACTTTTACATTTTACAACACATGTACTGTACTTATATTTCATTATGTACTCGCCTATAATATATTACAGCATAGTAATTCTTTCAAAATATCAAAATATGTCGAACATATGAGCTTTTGCTATTGATTTCTATAATTTTGTTTTTAGTAATATGAGTAAAAATTGTTTTTCGTGTAATAATTATTAAAATTTAGTATTTCTAATGAATGATTTTTGTTTTCCTCTTTTCCTTTCTTACTACCAATTGCCGCGGGGGTCGCATTGTGACATGAGTTCACTATAGAGTTATGCAGCAAACAGGCAGTCATAAAGTTATTTCAAGTGACGGGAAAAAATTATAATGGTAAATGTTTCTAAAAACAACGTTTGAAGTTCGAACAAATAAATTTTTATTTTTATTTATTTATTGTATTATTATTTTTTTTGTGCCTAATGGTTAAGCCTCTGTTAGCCTCTCTTGGATATACCTCTGTAAATGAAATTAAAATTATATGATGTAATTTCAGTTTTTTTCTGATTTTATATTCAGTTCGGTTAATCATCATCCTTTTTCAAATGATATTTTTTTTAATTACGGCCTAAAGTTAATTAAAGCACATTTACTTCATTTCTATCAGAATAGCTCATCAGTGGACAAATAGATAGAACCACTGAACACCGTTGGTCACTGGTTCGCAAAACTAGAAAACTGACCCGAAAAACACACAGTTTTTCGGGTTTCTTCACATGTCTAACTAACACCTAAATAGGAACTAGTTTTTCATAGAAAATGCTCACCCTCAAAAAATCGTCCATGTTTTGTTCCCTTATTCTATCAATCTGATCCAATTCTTTCGAAATAGTATTCGAAGTCTAAAGTTTCGGTATGCCTAATTTTGTTTAAATTACGAGTAAATATGCGTACTTTGGCACGCAAACTAAAAAAGCTTGACAGCCAGGTTTTAGGTTTCATTAGTGATGTTATTCACAATAACACTTTGCAGGGTAAAATATATATATATNGTAATGTTATTTTCCAGTTTGTCAAGTCTATCCAAAATTGTTTGTTGGAAATCATTCATTTTGAGATTCTCGCTCAAACAAATTATGTCCTTCTTTGTAGCCAAAGTAGTCATTCTTTCCTGGGTGGCATCAAGGGGCTTTAAACCATCAAAGATGCCTTCAACTAGGTCAATGACCTTATTGAATTGATCCAAAATGAATTGCACGTGCATAGGTGCATTGAATCTACCTTTAGGATTGGCTTTTGCGTACGATTTAATTTCATCCAAAATGCCATCGACAGAGGTTCTAAACATCTCACGAGTAGCAGACTCCATATCGATAAAAAGTGTGGATATGATACCAATATATGAACAAATTTTAAATTATATCCAAAATAACGCAAGGAGTAAGCTTAAGATCGATTAGTCTAATTACATATATATATATAAATATATATAAATTGAAATAAATACCAAAACTTATATAATATAGCTTAAGATTAACTTATAATAAACAAAAATAGTGAAAGTATATTGTAATTCCTTTAATAACTTTATGTATGATTATTCTATATATTTATCCATATCACCAGTATTTCCCTTAAATTATCCCAATTCCAAAAATATATAATTATCTCTATGTTAAATAAGAGCAATAGCCGAATTTACCGATTTCCACTTAACTAATGTATCTCTATAAAGAAAGGTCAATGACCTTTGCTGTTGAAACGGAAGTTTGGCCGATGTTGAAATTCGAACAAGAAAACTAGAATCTCCATAATTCAAAAACTATTGTAAATAACTGATCGAAATTTACTAAGAGAACTACTGAAAGGGTCCTAAAAGAACTGCCCGAAGGATATTATCCACCAATTCACCGAAAGCAAAATATCGGCGTTCGACCCCCGACCGGAAGTTTGACGGTATTAAAGCCGTAGATGGTCCGAAGACCACGAAATTTCAGATATTACAATAATCTGGCAGTCCGCACTAGTCGGCGTCAACCGATCCGGTNATTTAAAAAATATTTTTCTTAAATAACATTTAACTAAATAGAATTAATAAAAACAGTTACTTAAAATGATTATTATATTTTAATTAAAAATATTTAAACACCTAATTAAGATTAGCCTATATTTAACTAATACATAATAAATTATCCTGTATTTATTTTAATGATAATCTTTGCGGGAACGTTTGTAATTTACACAAGTATAACATTGTAATATTAGATAATAAACTTAGGTAAACGGTAATTTAGGTATTAATATACGCTACTAATTACTCCTAATTTTTATCTATAAATAAGAAAACTAATTTTTTTATTTTTATAAATTAATTCATGTTATTTTATTATTAACTACACGATAAGTTATTTAAAATATATACTGTTTATTCTGTGATTCTGTTGGTGTCTATGTTATATTTGAATTTATTTTGCCGTAATGTTTACATAGATATCACAGATAGAAGGATGATATTAAAAACCATAAAAAATCGAAATGTAAATATTATTCTTTGTTTTATCTGCTTATCTTGCATTTAGTTATCCTGAAAAATTAAAACGCATTTAAAATAAGATACAAAATTGATGTTAATTTATCAATGTTCAGAAATATTAAAAAGAATAATAGTTAAGACAGTCTTCAATTCGGCCTTAACCAAATATTCGGCAATTTTGGAGAACTATAAACGCAGTGTAAAAGGAGATTGTGTAAATCACAGTGATTCCATGAATGTGGTCAATGTATGGAAGCTTCTATATTATCTTACATTTATGCTTACGAAATTATATGTTCATAACTTTGTGTAACTTTAATGTTTTATTATTCTTTATGTTACTATTATAGTAACTTACTATTAGTCACTATTATCGTTTCGTTTTGATGCTAGCTAATATTTTAAAACATGTGAGGTAACCATAAGCTGTAGTGTCATCATTTTGAAAAATATTTTTTTTATTTTAAATTACAGAAAGAAGCTTCATTTATCAAGAGTTGCGGTCTGAAACCCCTCCAAGTCAAACAGCGTCTGATTGACTATATATATATACACAAATGAAAGTTGCCGATTTTCGAGGGTTGATTTCTCCGCCTCTAATCGTCTAAAGTAATTCTGGCATCAATATTAAAAAACTATTTTTTTTCTTTTTTGCGATACGTAGGTAAACACAATCTGCACTCAAATACTTTAACATTTTTCTCACTGCTGTTGTCGTGTGCTTGCTTGCCTTAATATGCCTGTTTAAACTTTGTCTATGACTATATTTTAAACCACATTCACTACATTACGACTACTAACACTATATTATTTAACGCATAACGAGTTTTACTCTTCCCATCGGGCGAAAAAGCTGACGTTGCATAAGCGCCACAGTGCGGATGAAATTGACATTAATGCTCGCTCAGTCTAGACCAGGGGTGGCGAACCTATAGCACCTGTGCCCAAAGTGGCAAGTAAGGAGGAATCATCTGACACGTAACATATCATATTATTTCGATTTATCATTTGTCTTTTTCAATTATCCTTTTAGTTTATCATCTAATTTTAAATCAGCTTTTTTACATTTATTCTAATTTAATTATTCGTCTAATTTATTTAAATATCGTTATTCGAAGTTAAAATCTTTGATATGCATAAACATCAAACCTAAGTATGCTTACTACATGGCACGCGGACTTAAAAATGTTTGCCCCCCCTGGTCTTTCACGTCAGGCATCGCTAGTCGTATCTCGCATAATTGATAATTGAATTATTCTGCCCTTCTAAAAGAGTCTTTTTACCTATACCCATCGTGGGTTCAGCCAGGCCAACAATAGGAGAGAGGCTCTGACTTATCCGTGAAAACTTTTTGAAGTTCTTCGACCCCATTATTTCTATTATGGGCATTCCAGAGCAGTCTTAACTAAGCGAGACGTCAGTTTCTAGATAACTATGCGACGAAACCCCTACCGAAACGGCCCAACACCGCACTCGCTTCATTCACTCGCACACTTCTTCCCAATATAGACCATTTATAACAAAAATTTCGTGATGGTGCACCCCAGTGAGGGTCAAACCCACACGCTTCCCTCCCTTCGTTTAATTTCCTGCAAATATACATGTGATGAGAATTATATTTAGCTAAAGCATTGTTTTCCAATCTGTGAGGCGCGTGACTATTGCTAGGAGAGCGCAGCTTTTACCAAATAATCATTTTTTAATACAAACAAACAAACAAAAAAGTCAAATCGTGAAAAAAGTCAAATCAAAAAATGAATTAGCAAAACGGTTATGCTTAATTCACAATCATGTCCGAAATACTCGAATACGAATGCTAAAAATCCGAACACTTATGCCGAAACGTCTCGACAAGAGTCGAGCCCCGGCAATACTTTATTTAATAAAGTTTATTGTTTTGTAGGCCATTAAATAAATTATAAGGACAGTATTTATGAAATTAGATTGTTACGAAAATTAATTGGAGCGCAACAAATTATTTTCTGAAAAAGAGGGAGCGAAGGTGCAGAAATGAAAACAACTGAGCTAAAGAAATGTAATTTAAAACAGATTTTAATTTCAAAATTTATTATTTTATTTTATATACAGAATGTTAAAGACTCGTACTGTAAACTATTTCATTTTTTGTCTTAATAAAGTTTTTTTAACAATATTTTTTAGAAACTTTTCTAATTTCTTCTTTTCAAAATATAAGTCTAATACTCTTTGTTCTAATGGATATATTCTGTTATGTATCTTGCATAACTTTTCCATGTATTTTCTCAAGCCATATTTTAACATTATGCTCCTTGGAATTAATAGACACGCTACATTATCCATTGCAAGTAAATATGTTTTAGACATATCTTCACCTAAATACAACAAAATGTAATAAAATGGCATATACAAGATCATCATAATTAAATATTAGGTGTTAAGAGGTTTCTTCAGAAACAACTATGGTAAAATCTCAACTAAATTTGGTATACGTAATACTACTGTCCTGAGTGTACAGTTTCGATTTTCGTGAAATAAAATTTACATCAAGATTCAGACGCTAGTGCAAAATTTGACGCTGCTGACCACTACTGTACACGTTTTTTTTTTTACCAATTTCAGGTATAAACGAGTTGCAAAATTTCTTGAAAATTCTCCCATAGATGAACTTACTTTGTCTGAATCACTCTTTTACCGTAATCGTATCTGAACTTTATAAATATAATTATTGCACTTTATTCCTTCTTTGAAGTGATATGCATACTAAGGGAACAGCAGCGCCAAATTTATTCTTGACGGTTGAATTTTGAAGTAAACTTTGTTTCCGAAAATCAAAACCGTATACTCAGTACACCACGTATATCAAATTTGATCGAGACTTGTTTAATAATTCTTTCTGTAGAAAGCTCTAAACACCTACTCTTTAATTATAATCAGTTTATATTATGTGAAAATAGTAATAAGAGTACTGTACTATATCATACCTACTCCAAAATAACTTCCATGTTTCACAACGCAGATTTCTAACAAAACTTTATGATATTTTTTCTGGCATGTACTTGAAACATCCTTTTCATTAAATGCCAAATATCGTGTTTTTCTATGTTCATCAGTTTTGATTATATATTTCACAGCGCGTACGAATTTGCAACTTCCTGAAATTACAAAATAAACATCCCTTGGCTGTTCTTCGATTCCACCAACGATGACCTTCAGATATATAAAAATATAATAATTCTAGACACTTTCGAAATATATTAATATGAGAATAAATTTATTTAATACCCTTTCTTTTGGGAATGAAACAATTTTTGTGAATGTACTTATAATTTTCAATTGTTTCTCATTCCATTCGATATCATCGAATGCTGGCATGTTAACCAAGTGCTTTCTTTTCTCAACTACATCAATGTATATTATATCTCTTAATAGCTCATTAAAATCATCATCTTCTATAACAAAAAATTGGCATGGCACTGAAATAAAAACAATGTATTTTCTGTATAAGAAATTCACACTAGAAATACCGAAAAAAATATAAAGTTTAAGCTTAATATCATAAGAATAATCTGTAACAATAATAATATCTCTTACCTTTACACGTAAATGTGAGTTCTCTTTTTGTTTTATGCATTAAACTGATTTCTCCAAAATAAGAACCTTTATCAAGTTCAGTAAATTCTATTTCTTTAACTTGATCTAAACAATATAATTAGACTTATCATTAATATAGAAGCATAATTGAAATTAATTTCAAATGAGAAGATAAATGAATTAAGTAGCTTAATGCAATTTATGAGTATTGAAAGCCATAATTAAAATTACTGAATAGGGTTGGGATTAATGGTAAAAGACGACGCAATATATGGGCAAGCTCTCAAGGGGTCCTGGGAAAATAGTCTATGGCTATTATTTTGGTGTTAGACACGTGCAGAAAACACCGAAAACTTCACGTGGCCAACCCGTTGGTTAGGTGCAAACCAATGATCAGTATTCAGTAGTGTTATCCATTAGGCCATTGTTGGATACAAAATTAATAAATTGATACTAAAGATGGTAGTAATAAAGATATTATTTTATAACAAATTCAATAATTAGAGAATTAATAATTGGTAAAAAATGTTAAAAATCAATAAAAAAAAAATACGAGTCACAATGGAATACTAACTGAGAATCTCTACAAACTTTTAACATTGTTTATCTTTATTATCAAATTACTTAGTATTTTAATTGAATTATAGCATAAGATAGCTCGTAAAGTTACAGCAATTTTCTTAATATGTAATTTATAAGTTTATAATTTCATATTACAGATTTAATTAACAGAAATTATACATTTTACCTGTGATTGGATGTCTTTCTGAATATGAGACAGAAACTTGTCCATCTACGATATAATACATATAAACAGGAATTTGCCCTTCTTTGATAATAACTCTTCCCTTTTCAAGAGATTGATAATATATCACACGTGCAAGTTTTTCAAGGAGATCTTGATCCAACTTCCCAAAGAAAGGCATTTTTCTTATCGTACCCACGATCATGCCAATATCCTTTTTGGTCCTCAGAGCACTTTCTTTTGTCATTAATTGTCTGACAACACCAGAGATAGATCCACGTGTAACTTCTATAGGTCGACTGTATACTTTTGGATCCAAATCTCTAACTACATGACTAGGTGATGACTCTTCGGTTCCTCTTATTGACGTTGTTTCAAACAAATGTGGGACGTCTCTGTTATGCATTACGAACTTTGCGATATCTTTGAATCTATTTAGAGGTCGCTGAAGGATTACATTTAGAAAAAATGATTTATTATATGATTAGTTCAATTTGAAAACATTTTATCGAATTTGTAGAGTTACTTACTTTAGATGACATTATCTTTTAATATGAATTGATCAATAATAAACTCAGATTTTGGGATAAGTTTTATACTTTTTAGTCGAAAAATGCGTTTATGTCTTGTATAAGACGAATTTTCTAATGAAATTCTCAATAGCGACTCTTTCAAAAAAGAAATGGAATACATACAAAAGTTCAAAATTATCGTTTAGAATCTAAACATTAATTTTGAAATTTTCTTTGTATTCGATTTCTTTTTTGAAATTTACATCGTGTTCTACAGTTTAGAACACAGTGAACAGATGTAAAGAAACAGGTGTGCTACTTATCTATTCTAATTGAATCGTTCTGCATGTGCGAGTAAATTCGAATAGTCATTCCAGCAGTGGCGTGCCGTGACATTTGATGATAGGGAAGCTGTGTTTCTATAAGAAGCCGACTTCCAGGGGCAATGAGTCAGCGATGGTCTAGGGTCCATTCGTATTCGTTTATTCGATAAGCCAGTAAAAACCGTAGACTTCTCTAAATGTATTTTTAATTAATAGATTATCTAACGCACTTAATAAATAAGCAAGTTCAATATAATTAACTCTGTTATATTAGATTCAATAGATTCTCTACGCCCTCTAAATGCCAACTCTTGCTTTGATAACATGTACTAATTTAGATATATCTATTAGCCGTAAATATCTCGTTATAATTTTCAATATTTATTTTATATTGTTTACTAATGTTAAATTCTATTCTATTTTAATTTCCAAATTGCTTCAATTTTACGAAAGATTCGATGTGAGATTTACGATTTTCGTGTCTTTTGCCAGCTTTACTCAAATTATTTAAATAATCAAAGCCATTCATTCTTATTCCACACACAAAGTTTATTTGAAAATAATAGGCAGGGCCAACAAAACAATTTTTGCATTTTTATGCATCCACAAAGCCATTTCATGTCTTCATAAATTTTATGTCGAACGAATTTTTTTGTTGACGTATTTATATTTAACTAGCTGTTACTCGCGACTTCGCCCACGGAGGTTTTGCAAGCAAACCCCATTTATATTCAGTATTTCAACAACCATAGTAATTGTTATATAACACCTACCGCCGAGAATGATGTGAATTGCTGAGAATCAAACAAACTATTTTCAATTTTATCAATTTTCTGGAACATTTATAATCGTTCTATAATCGAACCGATACGCAATAACAAATTCGAATTTAAAAAGGTTCGAGCATTTGGTTAAATAATCGAAATATATAAAAATATTTACAACAATGTCTGAAATATTATTAATTTAATACACTTAAGTACTTAATGAATCTATTTTTTCTACCATCCCGTTTGCTTGCCCCTTGTTTGTAACCTTTGATCAATCCGTTAATTGTAGACGTTTTGTATCCTAAATTTTTCGCAACCTTCTTGATTCTGTTAATCTCGTTAAGTCGATCCTGTATGTTGGTGCAATATAAGAATGCTCTTTTTATAAGTGCCTTAAACGATGACATCTTGTATCTGAACGGATCATTAGACCATGCCGGAATATATAGAGGAGCATGTGTGGGTTTTAAATACACCGCTGTTTGTACACATCCTTGCTTAAACTTTATGTCAATGTCCAAAAAATGGATCTGCGTAGAGCTTTTCTGTTCCATTTTTAGTTTTAACCCATGATTATTGTTATTTATCATACTTAAAAATTCTTCAATTCTTCGTTCATCCTTCCAAATTATCAACACGTCATCTACATATCTTTTGTATAATATAATGTCCTCCATGAATTCTCCTAGGACCTCCTTTTCGAGTTGGCGCAGAAACGTGTACAATTCTTGTACAATGTTAAAAAACATTGTACAAGAATTGTACACGTTTTTTCTACATTCCCTTATAGATGGGGCATACGAAATTGTAATATCACTGGTTTAACATTGAAATCCGTAAGTAATATAAGATGGGAGAGCGGAATAAAAATATCAAATGTTTTAATGGATTTTTTAAACTCCTGTCAACTATATAAAACTATCATAAAAACATACCAGTAAATTCTTATCGTTTTCTTATCGTACCCACGATCATGCCAATATCCTTTTTGGTCCTCAGAGCACTTTCTTTTGTCATTAATTGTCTGACAACACCAGAGATAGATCCACGTGTAACTTCTATAGGTCGACTGTATACTTTTGGATCCAAATCTCTAACTACATGACTAGGTGATGACTCTTCGGTTCCTCTTATTGACGTTGTTTCAAACAAATGTGGGACGTCTCTGTTATGCATTACGAACTTTGCGATATCTTTGAATCTATTTAGAGGTCGCTGAAGGATTACATTTAGAAAAAATGATTTATTATATGATTAGTTCAATTTGAAAACATTTTATCGAATTTGTAGAGTTACTTACTTTAGATGACATTATCTTTTAATATGAATTGATCAATAATAAACTCAGATTTTGGGATAAGTTTTATACTTTTTAGTCGAAAAATGCGTTTATGTCTTGTATAAGACGAATTTTCTAATGAAATTCTCAATAGCGACTCTTTCAAAAAAGAAATGGAATACATACAAAAGTTCAAAATTATCGTTTAGAATCTAAACATTAATTTTGAAATTTTCTTTGTATTCGATTTCTTTTTTGAAATTTACATCGTGTTCTACAGTTTAGAACACAGTGAACAGATGTAAAGAAACAGGTGTGCTACTTATCTATTCTAATTGAATCGTTCTGCATGTGCGAGTAAATTCGAATAGTCATTCCAGCAGTGGCGTGCCGTGACATTTGATGATAGGGAAGCTGTGTTTCTATAAGAAGCCGACTTGTTTCCGAAAATCAAAACCGTATACTCAGTACACCACGTATATCAAATTTGATCGAGACTTGTTTAATAATTCTTTCTGTAGAAAGCTCTAAACACCTACTCTTTAATTATAATCAGTTTATATTATGTGAAAATAGTAATAAGAGTACTGTACTATATCANTTGTTGACGTCTTTTTTTTTTGACAGTTCTCCCTGATTTATGACAGTCTCCCGCGCCGTAGAAAAACTTATCTTATTATTTGGTCATTTCTATCGTCCAGTCGCTCGGACGTATGGGGGTCACGTGACATCGTGGTCCCTCGTCGATGACCTTCAGCCGACGAAAGTCACCCTCACTAACTACGCAGTTAGTGTGAAATTAAAAACTATCCTCCTCATTCTCACAGATATTTGAATATACAATAGCAATCTTATCGTTTTTTTCACATGTAGTATAGAAGTTTGTAATAAGATACATAATGCGGTTATAATAAAACATTAATTTTAATTATATGAAAATAATCGCACAATATGTATTTATTTTTTAGAAAATTTAATGGAAGCGGCGCTTCCACCGCTTCCAATGGCGGCACGCCACTTCATTCCAGAAATTTCAATTCTTTTACATGCTGTATTTGCTGGATTACATATTATATTGTTATCCAAACAAAAACATCTGAGACGTAAAAAGTTGCACCAAGTAAAATATAACAATTTAGATGACAGTCAATTCTTTTTCTTAGGAGTTTTTCTTTGATTAAGATTAAAATGACTAGATGTCCCGGATAATTGTCTGGTTCCTTTATCAGTACCGGTTTTTGACTCTGTCTCGATTTAGAATAAAATGTCCCGGATTATCTCGTTAATTAATTAATTAATTAGTTTATATTAAATTAAGGTAGGTTTTCAGGACTGGGATTGGCTCCTTAGAACCAGGCGAAGGAGTAGTTGGAATTAGGCTAGAATTTAGTATGAAGTTGATGCAAAGAATGGTACCAAGTTCAAAACGAGCCTTATCTTAGTGAGAGCAGATGAGATAAAAATGCCTGGTAGTTTTGATATCACTGCGGTGAAGACAAGAAAATAATTCAAAATTGTAGAAATTAATACAATGGAACAGTTTCCTGTGCGGAAGCGACACAGAATTGGAACTCCTAAAGTGCACCTACTTTCAGGCACTAATGATAAAAGGATGGAATATGATTAGGGCCTTTGTTGCCTGGAATAATTGTTACCTCGCAGGGTAGATGTATTTTCAGATGTCACGACAGTAGTCTGCCAAAGTGAGCTCATGTTATCACTTGAGATGGGTAGTTTCCGGTCGGAACCCGTTTCGGACTCGGAACCACTAGGAACAGTTCCACACCAAGTATCGAGACAGTTCCGATCGGAACCACTAACTCGTTCTTCATTTTGTACTTTTATGAATACGGGTTTTCACGGAACAATAAACTCTAAAATGAAAACTATATTACAAATTTATTTATCATAGTCTATCGTTGTCATGTTTATCAAGAAGTGTGGAGGACATCAAGTAAGGGGGAAAGTGGGATGTCTATATTTCATGGTAGTCTATATTTTCCTCAGAGTTGGAGAGAATAAGTATGAAAAATTTGATACAAACCGGACAAAGAGCACAGCAGTTAATAAGGAGGATGAAATGAAGAGAGGATGATGTTCAGGTTGTTATATTTTCCTTAGAGTCCAAGTAAACCTAGAATAATTTGGACGTAATCGATCAAAAAGCTGTGAGCAGAGAGGCACAAACATTCTCTTATATATATCCGATAATATATATCTTATATATATTCTCTTATATATATATATGTTACTGTGAATGACCGATATCTGGCGAATGTCAACATTCTCCGGTGAATGTCAGCATTCACACAGTCGTTTCGTGTATGTACGAAATATTTGCTAAATATCGTTATTTCTCACTTCCACCGGCAAATGTCGGCATTCAGCGTGCACTAATGGTGAATGTTAAATAAAAATATTTTTATTACGTTAAGACAAAAATGTAACTTTCTAATATGTCAAAATAGGAGAAAGCTTAAGTAACAGCACATGTAAATAAACTGTTGAACCTAAAACGAACAGTACATTCTAAATCATTAAAGAAAATAATACAATAATAAACTTACACATAAATTATGTGATTAACGTTATGCAATCTTTTTTATTGCAACAACTTAAACTGTTATGGAACTTTGAATTTCACAAGAGTCCCTTGCTTTTACAACTGCATTTATTGGTGGAACACTTCTTATTGCAATGACAGCGTGTATAGCCTTGCTCTCCAATTTTCGAATTAGCTGTAGCTGCTTCTCTCGGCGATATTTCTTGAGAAGAAATCTCATCTATAGAAAGTAACTTTTCTTTACAAATTACGAAATGATTACGGGTATAAAGCTGCTTGAGGGTACAATATTCGTTTGCTAATTTATAAAAGTCGGAGTCTGGTACAGATACCAGACTCCGACCTTTATAAATTACATGTCGGGTATCTGTACAGCAAGTCCTCGTGTGGACCGTATCTGTACAGATGCCCGAAATGTGTTGGC